GTTTAGTGGGAGATGAATTATGTTTCCATCATATTGACAGGCCTGGCATTGGCGGGCATATAGCTTGCAATGTTGCACACCGTGGGTCAGTAGGTGTTGATGGAGATGCTTGTCGCCTTGATGTTTGTTACAGACACAGAAGCAGTAGACACACTCGTTGGCGAACCTAACCACCGTGGCCGGCAGCAGCACGCACAGCAACGCGCCGCCTGACAACAGCATGCACGGCAGCACGCACAGCAGAGCGCGCCATCACGCACAGTAGCGTGCATTGCCCGACAACAGCACGCATGGCAATGCGCAACACGCACCGCACGGCAACAGCACTAGACAACAGCACGCACCGCATCGCAGCAGCACACACCACACGGCAGTAGCACTGAGATGCGCGCACCGCTCGGCAGCAGCAGTAGAGCGGGGCCCACACGACAGCTCATCAGGGTGGGTCCACACTTATCTTACCACAACAGCTCTACTCGCCAACTCGCCGCCAGCTACATCATTCCTCATCCCTTATCCTTATCTTATCTTATCTTCTTAGTAAGAGTTCGGTTTGCCACTAGAAGTAGGAGTTGTGTTACCATTAGAAGTAGGTAATTTATTTAGAAGTAGAAGTTTGAGTTTGATAGGGATTACCCTAGCYTAGCCGACTCCAACAAGGAACCCCCTTTTGTAATCTCCTATTTAAGGAGCTATGAGTTGAAATAAAGGATCTAGTTTCCAGTCAAGAGAAGAGTGAGGAGAGTTCGGGTGGTCTCTTGGACAAATCACCCATTCAATTTCCACAATAGGGTCTGCACGCAAGGGAAGGCGCAAGGGAAAGCAGGGCTTTCTCCCTGTGGACCGACCCGTGACGAGATCCTACGCCCGGGCCCATAACATTTTGGTATCAGAGCCAAACGTCATGGGCGATATGGAGCAGCTATCATCCAAGGTCCACGAACTGGAACATAGGCTGGCAGAAACCAGTAGGGAGGTTCGTGAAGTCAAGGAAGATGTCCGGGAGCTGCGATGCCTGTTGGAAGCATTCCTCTCCAACAAAGAAAGGAGTTCTGAGGGAATCGCCAACACAAACAGTCGCCATCCGGACTGGGCTGAGGCATCCAGCGAATAGCAGATCGCTGCCTCGATAGCTGCAGTTATTCCCAAGTATAGCCGTTTGGAGTTTTCCTCATATAACGGTAGCGGCAACCCACTGGAATGGTTGTACCGCTGCGAGCAATTCTTTCGTAATCAGCGCACGGAGGATGAAACTGTAAAGTCTCCTCCTTTGGCCGGGGACAATGTCATGAGCATTATATTGGTACCTGCAGAATGCGGTCCTTCGTCGAAGACAGGTGGACTTGGCGATGTTGCTGGTGCTTTACCGAAGGCTTTGGCTCGGCGTGGACATAGAGTTTTGGTTGTGGCACCACGGTATGGTAACTATGCAGAAGTCCTAGAAACAGGAGTGCGTAAGAGATATAAGGTGGATGGGCAGGATATGGAGGTAACTTTCTTTCAAGCTTATATTGGTGGCATGGATTTTGTGTTCATGGACAGCCCTATGTTTGGCAATATTGAGAAAAATATATATAGGGGAGGCCGAGAGGATATTTTAAAAATCATGGTTATCCTCTGTAAGGCAGCTCTTGAGGTTCTGTTATGTAAGTATACCCAGTGCGTTCTTGTGATCCACAACATAGCACACCAGGGTCATGGTCTAGTAAGCGATTTTCGTTATGTGGATCTTCCACAAAACTACATAGATCATTTCAAATTACATGACTCAGGAGGTAGGGAACACTTAAATATCCTTGCAGTTGGCCTGAAAGCAGCAGATCGTATAGTCACTGTAAGCCATGGTTACGCCCGGGAGCTAAAAACTAAAGAAGGTGGCTGGGGACTGCATCAAATAATAAATGAGTATGATTGGAAGCTGGAGGGCATCGTGAATGGGATTGATGCAAAAGAATGGAACTCACAGTTGGATGTTTACCTGGCATCTGATGGCTACACCAATTACCTGTGGAGACTCTTTAGACTAGCAAGCCTTAACGCAAAACAGCTCTACAAAGGGAGCTTGGTCTTCCTCTTCGGGAGAATGTTCCTCTAATGGGTTCATTGGCAAGCTTGACCATCGGAAAGGTGTTGATCTCATTGTTGAGCCCATTCCTTGGATGGGGGACCAGGATGTGCAACTAGTAATGTTGGGCACTGGGAGACTTGACCTGGAACAACTTCTCAGACATTTTGAGAGTCAACACCATGACAAAGTTAGGGGTTGGGTTGGTTTCTCTGTGAAAATGGCTCATCGAATAACTGTTGATGCAGACATCCTACTTATGCCTTCTAGATTTGAGCCATGTGGATTGAACTAGCTTTATGCACTGAGCTACGGGACAGTCCCTGTTGTTCATGCTGTTGATGGACTGAGAGATAGTGTGCAGCCGTTTGATCCATTGGCCGAGTTCTAAGCCGCGTATCCGGAATTCGAGCTTGAGGACAAGCTCGTAGTCCAAGAGGGGTGTAATGTTACAAACACAAAAGCAGTAGACACACTCGTAGGCGAGCCTAACCACTACGGTCGGCAGCAGCACGCACAGCAGCGTGCGCCACCGCACACAGCAGCACGCACAGTAGAGCATGCCACCACGCACAGCAGCGCGCGCCACCCGACAACAGCACGCACGGCAGCGCACAACATGCACCGCCCGGTAGCGCGTAGCACGCACCGCACGACAGCAACATGGCAGCAGCACTATGAGACGCGTGCACCGCCCGGCAGCAGCAGTAGAGCGAGGCCCACACGACAGCTCATCAGGGTGGGTCTACACTTATCTTACCACAACAGCTCTGCTCGCCGCCAGCTACATTATTCCTCATCCCTTATCCTTATCTCATCTTATCTTCCTAGTAAGAGTTCGGTTTGCCACTAGAAGTAGGAGTTGTGTTACCATTAGAAGTAGGTAATTTATTTAGAAGTAGAAGTTTGAGTTTGATAGGGAT